TTGTTTAAGCGCTGCACTTGGCACTTGTAAGCTTCTTTCTTGGTTACAAAGACTTGGAAAATTTTACTAAGGGAGCTTGCTTTTGCTTGGATTAGCTTTGCTTTAATAATGCAACATAACTATGCCAAACTTTATGTAGGTGACATCAGCCTTGCATAAATTTATTTGTGGAATAGCATTCCCCATGTCACAGAAACATTAGGGTGTCTATAGTTCACTGCAGTTTGGAGGAGAGTAATTGACATCCAAAGCTACACAGCTGCTGTAAGCTTCATTAGCTTAACATAATAAATGCGTAGGGAAATTGTAGATCACATTACCACCCACATTCCGATGGTTGTGGGTGCCCTTCCTTGATGCCGTGTAATTGACACATGAAAAACCAGTGCTATGGAAGTTATTTTTACGAGGGCTTCACACCGTTATGCCGCAGCAACGCATAAAAATGCACATTAAGGGCATTGGTGCTGGTTATTAAAAAATGCTAAACTAGGCCGCTGGACCCACTGTTCGAGAAGGGGAGGTGTTCTGTAGTCCTAATATTTATTGTACAGTAACACTACATTTATAGATACATTAAAACAATGACAATTAAGGCCACCACATCTAACGCATGTTAACTGGTTGACAAACACAAAAACCCCATCTGCATACCTGCGCCATACATTACTCTAATGCAACAGTATGAAGCCAAGTGAAAAAGTTTACTTTCAGGGAAGCAGCTAAACGGTCAATATAAATGCATGGTAGCCAGAAGAGGATTTGCAGTGGGATACAGAGCATCCCAGTAAGGACAGTCTTCCCCTCCCAAGTCTTCGATCGCCACTGCTGCAGTGACAGCACACCTCACACTTTTTAGCACATGTACATACAGCACTAGTGCTGCCCCTTCCACCCTCAGGCCAAGTTGCTGCTGTAAAAAGGAGAGCTCCAACTCAGATGCTTGCTTAGCTGGCATTTGTGTCCCCCCTTCTACCAGTTCAGCTTTAGTAAATCAGCCCCTTATTAACCCCCCCC